GATAATCTTTTTTTTTTTTTTGGATGGTCTTTAAAATAAATTACAGAATATGAAGATCTGAGTGTCAGTCCTGGACTGGCCAGTAACCAGATAGATGTATGATTTTGAGTAGGCAACTTCATTTCTAAAAGAGAAAACCATACCACATTACTTCTAAAGTTCCTTTCAGCTCTAACATTCCATGATTGAATAATTTTCATTTCTTTGAAAAAAAATCAAGGCAATTCCAACATGTCATTATGAAACAAAAGAAGAATTACTGGACCAGGTTTACTATAGAAAGATCTCAGCCAACACTATGACTTCAAAAATGACTTTAAGATCATCAAACAAGCTGCAAGAAATGGTGGACAAATCCAAAATCTGACAGTAATAAATGATAAGCAGATAAGAAACACTATTATTTTACACAGTAAAACAAACCAACCACACAATAACAACGAAAAGACAGTTTCCTAAAACATTTTCTCCATCAAAATGGGTAGGACTACATGTTGGATAATTTGTTCCTATTTGGATGATGTCATCACGCTAGGTTTAACTGCTTTTAATAACTAGTACATTTCAGTCATCTCTCACTCTCTCCCACATGAGATCAAATCAGCCTTTCAATGACCTACTTCATGAGTCATAATTTTTCTGTTTATGATTCAGAAAAATGTCTTCAGTCAGTATTTCCCAGACTGCTGTGGGTTTATTCCAAGAACCAATTTCATCTTCATTGGTTTCCTACAGGAAACCAGACCAACTTCCTATTATTTTATTTTCCTTACTTTTAGCATACCATAGCCCACATCAACTTAACTGGAAGTGAGAGTGATAGAAGACTTTTTTCTGCACAAAGGGAAGCCAACATAAACAATGCCCAGTCTAGAAGCTAGGGATTCAGAATTAAATACAAATTGTGCTAATATTAGAACCTTTTTTCAAAAGAACACCAAACCAAATAATAAGAAATTTATTTTTATTAATCTTACTGCAAGTATGCCCCTGTCATAAAAAAACTTTTTAAAAAATCCATTATTTTTAAATACAATAAATTCTATAAAGCTGATTAATACAGAGAAATTTTTAATCATGAGGAAGAAAATATGTATTTTCCATGCAAAACTCCTAACAAGCTACTAGGAAAATGGCAGACAGCTGAAACCCAATGTGCAGAGCGCTGGAGCAGTCAAGGAGCAGAACAGTGTGCCCTAAGCAACCTGGAAGTGAGCCGCCTGCTACCATGAGGTACCCTCATCCCAGCCCCTTCCCCACCCACACCCGCTCTGCCATAACTAAGCACCAACTGGTCTTAGACCACAGCATAAACAGTGGTATGGAAGAAGGGATTTTAAAGGACATTCTAACAGGGGCTTGTCCTCCTGCTGTTTCTCTAAAACTCAGAAGTATCAAAGAAGTATTTATTCTCACAGACTACACACAGATGGAAAAAGAGATTTCTGAATGTGAAGTACATTCGCATAAACATATATCAGATTCTCTTCAGACTCTTTCCATTTTTGCCACTTCAGACTGCAGATGTAGTTTTGGGCTTACCTGGCAAGTAACAGGACTGTTTTAACATGAAACTCAAAAGTTGATACATTAAAGGAGGTCTGAGAAGAACGCATTTAAGGCACACTTTCTATATGTGTAAACCAAGGAACTTGAAACGCTAGAGCAAGGGTTTTCAAGGTGTGGTCCCCAGACAAGGGTCAGCATCATCTGGACACATCCCAGAAATGCATGTTCTCAGAGCCCACCCTAGACGAAAGGACTCAGAGATTCCGAGGAGGGGCCCAGCAAGCTGTTACCTATCATATTCTCTCTCGTCCTTCTACCAGGTAATTTCCAGAAAAGAATCCACTCAGTCTGCATTTCCTCTGTAACCTCTAAACTCCTTAACCCGCTGCACTCTGGCTAACTCTGTCACATCACTAAGTCCTCTTTTTTTTAGTCACAAATCATCTCTAGCCTAACTGCCCAGGCCAGTGACCTTTTCCTGGTCCTCATTCCCTAGCCTCATCCCCTCCTGCTTGAAATGACTGATTTCTTGACTTCCATGACACAATTCTACGCTCTGCTCTCGATCTCCTCTCCTCCTACCCTCTCACTGTTAGGCATGTCCCCAAGATTCAATCTTCAGTCTTTTGCCCCCCTTTCTCCAGATGCTCCTTGGCATCTTAAGGACTCCAAGAGCTAAATTCACACCTCTGCCCTGCATTCTCTCAAACCTCACAACATATTTTAAGCTACCTCGGGTCCTGCTTCACCTGAATATCCTTCAAGTACTGCCAGTAAAACGTCTCCAAAAGGGAGCTTCTCATTTCCGCCCCCGCCCCCAACTCCAACAGTTGCTCCTCAACTGCCTGTTTCTAGTATTGGGTCCGTCGACTGTCTGGTCCCCTGGGCCCTGGAACCTCAGTATTCCCTCTTCCCTGGGGACCACATCTAACGTGCAGAGGAGTCAGCCCCAGAAGGCATCCTCTTTTGGCCTCCTCCTCCCCATTTCTAGTGCCACCATCCTCATCTAACAACTTCCCATCTGTTCTCAAGCCCTGCCTCTAGACTCTTACCTCTAAAAGTCATCACCGAATACATGTCTTCCCTGTTCAAAATATGGAGAGCTGCCCAGATGCAGCCCAACTTCCTACCAGCTTCATCTCACATTTCTCCTCATATTCTTTCTGCACAGCTAATACAGAATGCTTTTCATGCTGCCAGCATGTCCCAAGTTTTCTTACTTCTAAGTCGTTACTTTCTATTATTACCTCCATTTCAACTATCAGCTTCCCCTTATATCTGCAAATGCCCTCTTTATGCTTCAAGATCAGGGTTAGTGTCAACTCCCTGCAACATACATAATCCCCTCAGTGGACGTTCTCTCTCACCCTCCTCTAAAGACTCAACGACATTTGCGTAAATCACCCCTACAAAATTGAACCCCCACCCCCAGCAGAAATGGATTTGATACATCTTCTTGTCCTCCACCGTACCATGCGTGACACCTTGTCCGAGGTATGTACTAAAGAAATATCTGTTGAAGGATTAAACGACTTTCCCAAACAAAATTGTTAATTAATGGCACACCATTCCTGCCAATTAACTGACCTTTAGAAGCAGCAGCCAAAATACAATAAAAACAGATAAACTTCACGTACACAGCAACTTAGAAGGAATCAACTCAATCTCTTATACTTTCTATTACTTACAGTACAACTGCTCCAAAATGACAACCAAACACTATCATGTACACGGCAACTAAGAAAAATACAACATATTTTTTAAACTACAAATACGTTTTGGAAAAAAGAAATGACCAACTCCTTCAATGTTAAAATGACAGGGGGCAGGCCTTCTATAAATAAACCTTTATAAAATTTCCTGCATCTTCCCACCATGCCAGTCTGTAGCTTCTGGAGGTGATAAACTATCTATAATCACAAAGGAAACTTCTTAATCTAAAGGAAATTGAATAACAGAGCGATTGTTCCAAAACATTTTGTTTTGTCTGGAAGATACTCTCACGGCTGGTCAGGAAGGTTAAGAAGCAGCCAGATGAATTATAATGTGGAAGACAGACTGACTGCCTCAATTAGGAAAAATAAAGTCTTCATTTCTGGAATGGTAGAGTCACTGCTTCCCTATTAAAAAGAGGAGATATAATCTCTTAAGTAAAGTATGCAAAGAGACCCTTCAAAATGGGAAAACACATTGGGAATCATATAGAAAAACAGCTTTGTTCTAACCTAAAGACCTTGCTACCTTTCACAGACCAAATTTCAAGCCTAGATACAAAACAGAATCATGATAGATTAAGAAAGAAAAAAGTGTTTTTTCCTAGACAGCACAGGCAGATATAAGGTATCATCATTGACCAATATATGGTCATCCTTATATTATGAGGATTGACACTCAATTTTTAAATTTGCTATCAATTCTAAAACTGGGGCTTATTATTATGTTTCTCTCACTCTGTTCTCCACTTGGTTTCATTTGTTCTAGTTCATGATTTCTTCCTTAAATTAGCAAAGGTATTAATATATAAAACAGGCACACAGCTTCCATTCTGTACAAAGTTGGGGATATGGATAAATAGCAAATCACCTAAAATACTTTCTGAAATAAGACTCCTATAGTTGTTCATTAAACAGCAAAAACTACTCATACATTTTCTGAGTTTTTTTTTGGGGGGGTGCTTTTTAAACTTACAGTTATTTGCTTTTAATTCTAAGCTCCACTAACCATCTTGACTAAGAATCTAAATAGAAGTCTTATCATCCACAGCTTCAGATTTCATTCCTCAAGTAACAGGAGGACACAGAAACAAAAACTTGAGTTAAGCAGATCACTGGAACCCTGGGGATGGACCTCTAAGGTCACTGTGATCCATTGCAGAAAGAAAAACTAAAGGGAGGTGGGCAGACTACCAGAGAATCTGAATAAAATATAAATACACACACACACACACACACACACACAATCAACATTCACTGTATCGCACTGAGGAGGAAAGAAGCTAAAAAGAACTTTTCTTACAATGATTTTTACAACTCACAATAAAAAGTTAACTCAGCTAATTTTAACATATTATTAGGACTCAAAAAATATTCAGCCAGTAATGTAGCCACTACCGAGAATTAATATTAAAACAGAGGTTTTACTGAGTTGCATCTTCCAATATTTTAACAAAACATTTCATTCACAATATGATTTGAAATGGCAGAAAACACATCCAAGAGGGGCTCGTGACTATGGGGAACAACCCAAAATTTAAAATACTTCTATTTCAATGTTAGTGGTAAGATTTTATTATATTGTTCAATAACAGAGAATACACTTTTTAAAAAATCTAGTATTTCCATTAGGATTAATACTCAAACAAATATTGATGATTAAACTTGGAGACTAGGAGCAGTGGTTATATTAACATACTGAGAAGCAACAGACATAAGTAAAACACAGAACGCTGTAGGAACACAGCCAGAGAAATCATGATCACGAAAATGGCTTACTTTGACGTGGCTCTGGGCTCCCAGGTTGTAGATCTCTGTAGGCTTTACTTCATTAATGATCTTCACAAGGCAGGTACTGTCCGTGAGATCACCATAGTGCAATTTCATGTCTTTAGGATTCAAAAACATACCATTAGACAGAAGAAAACAACAAAAGCTCAGTTCTTTAAAATACTGAAATTGAAATGCATATTTTGAAAGTGTGAAAAACCGGGGTCAATATAGAAATGTTATATTTGATGGTTCTAGAGTGGAAGCGTATAACTGTCATCTTTAAATAACCTAATAGTAGGAAGATATTTATATATGTTGCCTATATCTGTAAAGGATTTGTGGGGGTAAACTCAGATGAACTTTTTACAAAGCATAATATCATCACAGATGTTACACATTTAAATCTTAGAGCTCCAGATGGTTATAAGATATGTTATATAAGAATGAGATTCAGACAAAGAAAACCTTACAAAAATGTGTGTGTCTCCTAAAGAAATCTATAACATTCTGGTGATGATGAAGATAGCTCTGTATTTCTTCAGATACTTTTATCTAGCAATTTTTAAGTACCATATAAACATCAAACCTTAAACCACCCATGAAAGGCCTGATGCAGTATTGTAATTGATTAAAGGACAACTAGCCTATTCCACTTCCTAAATCTAAGCACATCCTTACAATGACTTCATTAGTGTAAGAATTTGATACATGTGAATGGGTGATTTGCAAACTTGATAGTTCCATTATTTTTACAAAATACTGATCTATATATCTAGATCCAATGGCAGTACCGTTCTACACTCTGCACGAACAAAAAAATAATAATTTTCAGGGATGATGCACTTAATAACTTGAATATTAAGATGGAAAGCCTTTTCTTTGGACAACTAGATTATCTTCCTGATAGTATCACCACCTTTACAAGTAACCCAAATTTTCAAACATTCAGGAGTGATCCATATCTCTCACCACTCACGAAAATTAATTTGAGATGGATAAAAGACTTAAACGTAAGGCATGAAACCATAAGAACTCTAGAAGAAAATGCTGGAAAAAAACTCTTCAAGATATCAGTTTAGGCAAAGAATTTATGAAGAAGAACCCAATGGCAATCACAGCACTAATAACAATAAATAAATGGGACTTGATTAAATTAAAAAGCTTCTATACAGCTAGGGAAATAATCAACAAAGCAAAAAGACAGCCTAAAGAATGGGAGAAAATACTCACAAGCTATACATCTAATAAAGGGCTAATAACCAAAATCTACAAAGAACTCGAACAAATTGGAAGGAAAACATCAAACGACCCCAACAAAAAGCAGGCAAAAGACATGAACAAAAGCTTTTCAAAAGAAGATAGACAAATGGCCAACAAACATGAAAAATTGCTCAACATCACTAATCATCAGGGAAATGCAAATTAAAGCCACAGTGAGATATCACCTTATGCCAGTTAGAATGGCTTTTATGAAAAAGTCCAAAAACAATAGATGCTGGTGTGGATGCAAAGAGAAAGGAACACATACATTGTTGGTGCGACTGCAAATTAGTACAACCTCTATGGAAAACAGTATGGAGATTCCGCAAAGAAACAGAAGTAGACCTACCATTTGATCCAGCAAGCCAACTACTGGGTATTTATGCAAAGGAAAAGAAGTCATTTTATCAAAAAGACACCTGTACCCAAATGTTTATTGCTGCACAATTCACAATTGTAAAGATGTGGAATCAACCCAAGTGCCCATCAATTCATGACTGGATTAACAAAATGTAGTATAGGTATACTATGGAATACTATGCAGCCATGAGGAAGGATGAAATAAGGTCTTTTGCAATAATTTGGGTGGAACTGAAGACCATTATCCTACATGAAGAAGTATATAAACAATGGAAAAACAAACACCATATGCACTCGCTATTAAACTGGAACTAATCAATGAGCACACATGTGCACAGAAGGAAGTAAAACTCAGCAGAAATCAAGCAGGGGAGAGGGGGGAGAAGGGGAGGGGCAAAAACCTACCTAACGGGTATAAATGAACACTATCTGGGTGATGGGCACATTTATAACCCCTGACTCAAGCATAACAAAATTGATACATCTAACCAAAAACATTTGTACTCCCATATTTTGAAATAAAAAATTAATTAATTAATTAATTAATTAAAATACTCAGGGGCTCAGAGGTAAATACAAAAGGTTTACAAGCTGACTGTATCATCTTTGCTGGCTAGAAAAACTGGTCACATAATGCAAGCTCAACTTGGAGTTAAAAGCTCTGTGTCCTCATCCCAGCTCTGCCTTCTTCATGGTGGGTGACCTCGATAAAGTCACAACCTCTCTCTGGCTCCATTTCCTCATCTATAAAATTGTCTCCCTAGAGGCCTCAGGAGTTCCTGTAAAGATCCAATGAGAAGACACTCTGATTGTGCTACGTAAACTGTACAGCACACACAGGCAAATTTATTAACAAAATTAACAAAACAACTGCAAATACTGATAATGAGCAGTAAAGTAATTTAAATATAATTTTGATTGCCATCTTTTTTAGACTTCTCTTCACAAATTATTTTTAAAATGTACGAAGATTGTTTAATTAAATGTACAAAGATTGTTTAACTTGATTAAATCAGACAGAACATAAAAAGCTAAGAGACGCTCTGTCAATATGGAACTGCTTCTACTTCAGGGGACAGGATACCTGCAGTGGGGTGATCAAAGGCTCTTCCTCCCTTGGTCTCTCCAAGGCACTTACCCAATATCTTTCTAGAAGCCAAACCAAGATGACACTACAGCCTAGGACAGCAAGCAAGGAAGGGTGCAAAGCATGCATATTGTATTCAATGCACTAATTCATGGGTAAATAATTGTGACTTGATGGGCTTTAGGGAAAATGACATTTGAAAACATCTTATCTGAAGATAGGAAGTTCTAGAAAAAGATTTTACAAAAAGAAAATGACTTACTTCCTTCAATATGAGCCTGGGGATTCTTATACAGATGTTCAATTCGACCTGTATTGAATGAACTGGATCGGCGTACAATTCCATGGACCTGCGTTTTTACAGTATGGAAAGATAAAAGTAAATAATAAAGGTGCAATGAGGATTAGTAAGTAACTTAGAAGTTCTTTAGCTAATGTTTAGCTTTAGGAAAAAAGTATAAATATTATTTAAATTATTAGAAATAGTTCCACTGCTTACTTTTTCCCCAACCGCTGCTCACCAGCTACCGACACCTAACCTCCGTCTTTCTCCAGTGTTTTTACCGCCAATCTCAACAAAGTAATTAGATAATTATGTGACTTAGTTGTAGATACTCAAATATCTCCTTTTCTGAACACACACACCAACAGCCTAACTGCTGACAAAAATATCTCTTCCATTTGAAACTGAAGACAGATTATGTGAGGCTGTATCAGTAAAACAGCTTGTGGCCTGTTTGACACAGAGCATGAGGTCATCACATCTTACCGGTATCCTCAGAGGTATAGCACTTTTTATCTATTCTATATATTTCTGGAGCCATAGATATTGTCAGAGAGCAGTTTCTATTATGCAGCTGTGTGGAAAAGTCAGAAAGCTCAATAGTATGAGCTAGAGACGAGATTTATGTATTACTGAATTTAAGACATAAAGAAAACTCAAATGAAGAGAGGATTTTTAAAATAATTTTTATCTTCACTTAACCATGGTATAAGTATGAGGGAAAAAAGTTGTTGGGAAAGGAATGCATACCTGTCTGATACTGAAGAAAAGATTATTTGTGTCAGATACATAAAAGAAATTGTTCCAGATCTAGTCACACTTCCTTCTTGTGTCAAGATTACTCCCTTTGTGCTGCCAATGCTAACACCAGCTTATGTCACCAGCTGTCCAAGTTCCAGTTCTACTGGTGGCAGTTTTAATCCTTGACCTATTTTAGAAGTGTTCCTTCTAATGCTGGATAGGTACATTTGCAGCTGAATACACTTCTATATTTTAACTCAATCATTTTCTGTCTATTTCAAACCAAAATTAATCCTTGGCATGACTCAAATATTCCGAATGCAAGGAGGAAATTATAAGCACATAGGATGTTCTTTCAAATAGAAGAAAATGGCGTCGTCATTTTATATGGCATACATGAGAAACTGACTTCTGCAAAGGAGCCAACGTACCCACAATTAGTAATTCTGTTGGTTAGTTGCTTTAGCCAGCGAGAGAAACACTCACAGACACTTTTCCAAAAGAACGAAACCCAAGAAAAGTTGGTAAACATGAAAATATTTTAAGAAGGGAACATGCAAACTTGGTTGACATTTTAGGAGGCAAACATTAAATAAAATCTAGGAAATGTTAAATTGAGATTTGGCTATACATATCCATTTCTTAATTTAGAAGCGGAGAAAACAACACTAATATTAAGCTTAGAGTTTGTTGTACTTACTAAGCTTCAATTTTTCAAGTTGTTACTTAATTGTAAAGTTGAACTGCTCTACAAACTTAATTTTCTTTAATAAAAAAGCAATTTCATCATATCTACTTACATATAGCAAAATTGGTGTTTACTACCAAAGTTATTTCTAAAATACAGATTTCTTACACGTAAATACTTTGTTTCATTGAATAAAAAAGAATTTCTATACTCTAAAAACAGATAATTTAACTTTTGACAATGAAAAGAATAATATTATTTAAGCTATCTTCTCTTGATTGCTGAATTCTGGGGAAGTCACATAATATTGCAACAACCCAAAACATAGAGAAGTACCATATACATATATATTACATATAAACATAAAAGGCTTTGATAAAAATATTAAATGATCTTGATTCAGTGTGAAAAGCAAACAACCAAAGTTACAACCAATCAATTGGTATAATAGGACTTTACTGTCACACTTAAAATCAAAAGCATTAAGTACTTAGCTGCTTTTTTTTAATTAAAAAAAAGTATTTTAATTCCCAACTTTTGGTATGTGTATACAGGGAAAGAAAGATCTGCCAAATGCTTAATCCATGACAGCAGGTATTATTCTAAGACCTAATGAAAGCTGAGTCTGTCTGCTTTTGAGACAGGTGAAATACAAACTTTAAAACAAGCCAACATGTGTGCAAACTGCATAATCTAGTTAAGAATTTGAGATTAGCAGCTTTCTCTTTACAGAACGGAGGTAGGTAGGGCTCCTTTGTTTGTTTTTATAAGGATTTGGGAGAAAAAGAGATGAAGGGTTAGGAAACCAAACAGAAAAGATAAGTGAGTTGAATCTGACTTTATATGAACTTAATCAAAATTATTATTAAATATAGTAGTTGAAAACCAAATGTAATTCTGAAAAACTGAGGTCTTAATAAACGAAGGGAGTTTTTGATAAATTTCATGTTCCATTTAACTTAGGTGAAGAAAAGGAAAATTTCAAGTTTTCTTAATGTCAAAACAAAGATGGTTTGATTTCAAAACCTAGAGTCAGATTAGGCAATATAACAGAAATGATTTATTATTTACTGTGATCAAGAAAATGGAAAATTATTACCACTGGATTTAAAATTCTTTAGTGTCTAGATTTCTCCTGAAGGCAAGGATGCCTCCACGAGATGGTTGATGCTACTCTCCTTTTGAAAAGTATAGATTATCTAGATAATATTAATTGCTAACATTAACATATCAGCGACCACATACGAGACACCATTCTTTGTACATGTTAAATCACTTCATGTCACAACAACCTTACTATTACTATTACCTTACAATTTCCATTCTACAGATGAGGACACTGCTTGAGATCAAACAGCTAGTAAGTGGTAGCATTAAAGGACAGATTTGGTCGACTCTGGTAACACTCCACTGAATTATTGTTTCAAAATGAAATCCATAAAAAGCTTTGTCTTTTTTTCAAATCAAAGCATCAAGGCTTCTGGGATAAGGAAAAAAAAAAATATTTCGAAGATTCTCACAGATCAAGAAAAAGTGTAGGAACTCCATGTTGCAACAAATAATTTCCCAGAGATAACAATCGGACAATCCTTACATCACATTTCTTTTCTATTCTGACAATTCGCATCAGAGCTGGTGGTTATATATAGTTCCTTTCCTGGAAGGAAAACCCACAATTTACCTATTTTTTTATTTTAAAGTCTGATATGCTGTGCTGTAAGTTTTACCAAGTTATTTAATATAGATTTTTCATATATTCCCAGATTTTGTCTTTTAAAAGGTTCAATTTTGTCTTTTATTTCCCTGGTTTTCCTGTGTACTCAATGCAAAATGGGTACAAAAGTATGCTGTTGGCTTATATGCTAACAAAGGCACTGAGAAGGCACTTAAAACTATTAATAAAATGTGCTTTCATAAAAAGCTTCACTTCTGTCCATTTTCCTTTTTCCCCGCATGAGGGGAAGGAACATGCTTAGCTCTAGCATCCTCAGCAACAGGCCACGCCTGCTATTCAGTCATGCTAATTGATGAATTGGATCAAGCAGCCTTCTGCAAGACCTGTGTCCACGAGCTTGTCCACATCGGACACTGTGTCACTCTGCCACTCTTGATCAGTAAGTCTCATGAATTCCACAGAGTTCCACTGGGCTGTTTCCCATGTATTGTCTTATCTAATCTTCACAACCACCTCAGGGCATAGGTGTGCTTATCGTCCCCATTTACAGACCAAGAAATTAATTCTTAGAGGGGTCACGTGACTTGTCCAAGGTCGCAAAGCCAGGAAGTGGCAGAGGAGGATTAAGACACAGCTGCCCGGCACCCAAGTTAAGGGCTCCCTTGCCACAGCGAGCTGGACCACCTTGTCCACCCACCTGTCTACGCTGGTCAACAGGGTGTAAAGGAGAATGATCCTTTGCACTTCAGCAATGTGTAGAATTAAGTATACAAAGTATTTAAAGGGTGACTTTCCATAAAACCCAAATATTCTTGGTTTTCCTCCTCATGAGATGACATTTCTAGGTACTCAATTAAGAATGAACGAGTGTTAGATCCATTCTTGTTATACTCTACTAAATGTTTAATTCTGAGCAAAATTCAAGAAAAAAGCAATATTAAAAACTGCCATTTTAAACCTTTAAATTGAGTCTCTCTCAATGAGAACTGGACCAGGGATAAAGCAATCCTTTACTTTCCCACTTCAAATGGTTCAGTCAGAGCATGATCAGATATGTGGATTCAGTAGTCACATTTGATGGCCAGGCCCCACGGCTTCAGGAATCTAAAAGCATGTGAGGTCATTACAAGGGAATTAACCATAACTAATGAGTATAGTCGTATCTGCTATTCCTTTTCAAGTCATCCAAAAATACTTTTGCTTTAAGGTTAGCTAAGCTTTTTGTACTTTTATTTCACTTTTTTGACTAAAGAAAATGTAAAGCACTGTCTCACTGTGTGACACTAATTCTGCACACAGGGTCTGTTTTTGCCCACGCCATCCCCTCATCATCACCCCCCAACCTGGCTCCACTCTCCATGTATTAATAGTCAATGCTTCCCCAGCCTCGACAAAAGGCTAACCTGGCCACTGCTAGCCAATCAAAGTTTGCTCTTTCTCTTCTAGGAAGAACAACTCAGACTCAGCAGCAAGCCTCTTCTTCACAGTGTTTATTTGTTCCAGGCTTGCACTTTTCCACCCCAAAGTATGTTGTTTTCAGTTGTCCCTGACCTTTCTGGTATGCCTTGTACAAAGACTAGATTCAAAACAACACGATAGCTCGGAGAAGCAAGGCCCCACAAATTTAAAATTTAAAATTCCTTAAGGTACCTTGTCCACCTTCACCATATGATTAAATCTGTCACCTGACCCCATTTAGACTTCCAGTCGCAGTGGTTCTCTATCTGGCAAGCTGTATCAGCCACACCTGGGGACATTAAAAAGGACAATTCCCAGACCTCTGAATCAGCCTTCTGTGTCTTAACGGGGCCTCTGGAAGATTCTGATGCACATTAAAGGTTGAGAACCTGCTGAGGTAGAAGTCTGTACTCAGCCAAAACTTCTGACATTGACTCCCTGAGTTCAGGCGTGAACAGGTATGTACCTCTCTCAGCTCACTGCATGCACTCTACCAACCTCGTTCTTTTACTCCCAGTCTCAAGTGTGCCCATCACCTGAATAGTGTTCACTGTATCTGTCAGATAGGTTTCTATCTTTCCCCTTTTTCTCCCTGCCCACTTCTTGATTTTCAATGACTTACTTCTCTGTGCCCATCTGTGCCTATCAATTATTTCCAAATTATTAGAGAGTACATATGGTGTTTGTTTTTCCATTCCTGAGATACTTCTCCAGTTCCATCCAAACTGCTGCAAAAGACATTAATTCATCTCTTTTTATGGCTGAGTAGTACTCCATGGTATACATACACCACATTTTATTAATCCACTCATGTATTGATGGGCACTTAGGTCGATTTCACATCTTTGCAATTGTGAATTGTGCTTCAATAAACATTCGAGTGCAGGTATCTTTTTGATAATATGATTTCTTTTCCTTTGGGGTGATACTAGTACTGAGATTGCTGGGTCAAATGGTTAAGTCCATATTTATTTCTTTGAGGAATCTCCATTCTGTTTTCCTTACAGGTTGTACTAATTTGCAGTCCCAACAACAGTACATAAGTGTTCCTTTCTCTCTGCATCCACACCAGCATCTACTGTTTTTTGACTTTTCAATAATAGCCATTCTGACAGGGATAAGGTAATATCTCATTGTGATTTTAACTTGTATTTCCCTGATGATTAGTGATATTGAGCATTTTTTCGTAAGTTTATTGGCCATTTTTCTATCTTCTTTTGAAAAACTTCTGTTCATGTCTTTTGCCCACTTTTTAATGGGGTTTTTGTTTGTTCTGTTCTTGCTGATTTGAGTTCTTTGTAAATTATGGATATCAGCCCTTTATCGGATGTGCAGTTTGTGAGTATTTTCTCCCATTCTTTAGGTCATCTGTTTGCTCTGTTGATTATTTCCTTTGCTTTGCAGAAGCTTTTTGATTTAATCAAGTGCCATATTGTCTTTTTGTATCAGAATCAGATCTACTCTTACAATTTCAAATATCCAGAAAACATGTGCAGCTCACCACACAGCCCCAGGTTCTCATTACATCTATTTCCAAATCTCTCATCCTACCTGTCTTCTGAAGTCTGGTAGTTCCTTAACAAGAGACACCTAAATGGAGGTTTGCTTTTCCATGCATGTCTTCTTCTTAGCCTTTTCCAGTAACACTAACAGTATCATTTGCCTGAAAATGGTTAATATCTACACATCCAACTAGCCCTGTCATTCATCTACCCATTAATGGAGCACAAGGCCATGCTCCCTTGTCCTTTGGACAAGATACAAATACTGCCTGTTGCCACCAACCTCATTTCCAGTTCTCGCCATCCCCCACAACCTCCTAGAAGTAGATCTGAACACCCATGCAGTTTGAGCATCACTTCTGACATGCCACCTTGCTCTTCACAACGGCAGTGACTACTGCTCAGCTAGCTTCTTTTCTTGGTTCACTTGATACGCAACCACGCCAGTAATTTCTCTCCAGCCACCAAACATCTCTCAGCTGTTCCCAAACATCTGCAACACTGTACAGACATCTCTCTGCCAAACCTTTTCTTTTAATATTTATTAAGGCATTAGGTTAATCTAGCCTAAATAAATACCAGGCTTTCCCTAAAAACAACTCTTTATGCTACTTAATAATTTACTCTAAAACTCTCTATTTTGTAGATATGTGTTCCTTTCTTAATTATTACAGCAACATATCCATATGGACATATGTGTACATGTGTACTCTCATAAATACATTTGTTTTATTTTGATATTATCACAAGATATAGAACTAGCTATTAGATAAGAGCACAGGAGGAGCTAAACACATCTACTATTACTTCTTAAAGTCTAAAAGTCAAGGCTCTAAGAAAAGATTATGAACTAAAAGAAAATTAATTTCCTTTTCTTCAAATGCTGTTAGCATTTTGATGCCAAATTCCTTGCTGTAATCTTTCCATTTGCCCCAACTACACATTTTTGAAACAACATACCTCCAATTGGAATAAGTAGACAATCCAAAATTATCTATATAAACATTCACAAAGTAGGTCAGAGCATATGGGCCACTATGAAGGTTTTTGCTCTCTGTATAGTATGAATTTGTATGTATGTATGTATCTGAAAAATGGTTCTTAGAAAAGTAAGGTGTACAATCTGAGCTACATCAAAATTAATATATAAAACTCTTGTTTCTTTTAAGAAAGAGAGAAAATGCTGAAGATGACAACAGCAGCAGCAGCAGCAGCAAACCTAAGTTTCAGCTTCTATAAAACATACGGCTGCCTATTAGAAAGCAAAAACCTCCAGGTGTAAATATTTCATATAAGCTTGCCAAAGATCAGCTTGGGTTTTATTGCTCTGTGCAGTTCCTGAATTAAGTGACTTCACTGTGAGTGGGACTTTTCATAAATTAACCCTAACAACATTACGGCTTCAGCTTGCACAGGCAGCTGTTTTATCAGAGAATGTGGGAAGCGTGCGAAGAGGCTGAACACTGAGGTGCCGGAGAGCCACCAGTGCTCACCAGCAGATAAATAGCACAATGAGCTGGCAGGATCACAAGCCCGGAGGCACATTCTTCCCTGGATTCTGATTTGTTATCAGAGTTTCAGTGGAAAACACACACAGGAGGACAGCAGCGCAAAGGAAGCGTGCGGCCAGTGTGTCCAAGTGATTCCGCCATCCTGAGCTTGCTTGTCCACTGAGTCACCCACCTCATAGCCTTTCTCCAGCAGGAACTCGGCCAAGTATGAACCATCCTGGGAAGAGGGGAAAAAAAATGAAAAACATCAGTCCTATCGTGACTGGTATAGAAAGGTGGCCTAGACTGAGAGTTTTAAGACAAGCATTTAAAAGGCTATATGAACTTAAATTAAGGATCATGGCAACCAAAATAAAAATAATACCAACAATGCCAATAAACACCACATGGAGTTCCACTATACACGAAGCATTTTCACAAACAGCATATCATTTGAGCTCACCGAAGACAGAGGAAGAAACTGAAATCCAGAGAAGTAATACAGGGCAACAGAGAAAACATGAAGCTCCACAGTCAGGTGGCTTTGGTTTTAGGTTTTGCCACTTACTAGCTGCAAATTATGCAAAATATGTGGGCGAAAAAACAGAATGCCTTGGCGCTATAAAACAGAAGTCTTACTAATTCTGGGGGCGGGGTGTAAAAAAGGAATCACTGGGGAAGGGATAAGATGGGAGCTAGAAGGGATTGGGGAGAGAAAGGGCAAACGTGAAGAGGAGGTGTTGCCACTCCATGTGGAGTGGGGAGGGCCAGGGGACAGTGGAGGAAGGTAAGCGCCTCTGAGGGTTGGCCTCTGGGCACTGGCAGGCGGTGGCTGCTAAACCAAGGGTTCTGGAAAGTCACTGACGGCTTTAAAGGGTTTTGAGGTCAGGGCTGGGGGGAACGATCAGATTTGTATTATCATCACTGCACATGTACACACATACACATACGGAATTTTTACAAAAGAGGACAGTAATTTACATAAAATAATAAATACTTCATTTTTATTAATCTTAAATCATGTAGTTAATAACTTAACATGAAGATATCTAACTAAATATAGATATTCTCAACTGAATTTTAATAATTCTTTTAAAATTTTCTGGTGAGGGTCTTTATTTAAACTATTTCATGTTCCACTTTTAGGGAAAGAAAGTGTGAGACATCTAATTAAACTTTTAAGAGGTAAAAGCCGAGAAATCACCATTCTACAGGTACTATAAACAGTCGCCAGCCTCTCTCAGAAAATGAACTGGGTAGACGTTTTGCAATCAATCCTATAATTGCTCTTCAGCTTTTAGCCCAAGTGAGAGGTCCCCGTTCATCTCAGCTGGACTTAAAAATGGAAATCTGTGTCCTCAAAAGTAGTTGTGGATGTTTGGGTTTTCTTTGGTTTCTTCAGTTTGAATAAGCTTAAAATATCCCTCTGAGCTTAAAAAGTTCCTACTAGATATTCCAGGAAAAAAAAAAAAAAAATGAAGCAAGCCTTATTATTATCTTTACTTAACTGAAAGCTGGAATTGGAGACACCCTATGGGTCCTGAAAATGACAGGGCTGCCAAGCGAGTGTTTACTACATTAATGCAGCAGTCATGCATAAATTCAGGCAGAATGACAAGGCAAGGCATACAAGCGACACATTCTGTGGTTCATTAAAACCTCCAGCAGATTTTCTTCTGACTTTTTGACATAAATATTCTGGTTCATAGACTCATGTGGAGAAGACAAATTGTTTGGCATTATTCCTTTTTACCCTATTCTTACAATTCTCACAGTTTTTACATATCTAATATGCAAACTAAGTCAGATAATGAGACTGACCAATTCAGACAAGGACAAGCCAGGTTGGTCTACATGACCACTGGCAATGCTGGAATAATCAGCAGCCCTATAAATCAATCAATGAGAAAATAGCTTAACAGAAAAATATTTGCAATATGAATGATAATTTGACAGGAGGTTTGAAAGCATAAAGTTTTGATGTTGTTTTGAAGCAGGCAACATTATACTATTTATGTTTTATAATTCTCTTGGAATAAAAAGTGAAAACCTTTTGTGTTCTACCACAGTTGCATGAAATGTTTAAAAAAAAAAAAAAAGGCGGAGGTAAACGTGCTAGAGATCCCTGGGGTGGGGAGAGCCGTGATTATTTAGAAAGCTGATGTGAAACAGACCTGACCAGGACTGAACCCTGTCAATAAGGTCTTGTTCTTCTCACCCAGGCCACTTCTCAAACTTTCCAACCGCACTGGAACATTCTGAACCAGCAGTGGCACCCGCTTCCTCCTTGCTTCCTTGCCAGGCCTCTCAAGTGATAGGGCCTGGGCTGCACAATGAGTGGGAAACGAGCCCAGCGAGCAAGGGCTCCTGGTCTCCGGCACTGGGGGCCCAGCTGGCCTCCCCCTCATCCTCTTCCCAGGCCCCTGGGGGACTCCAGGGGAGACACGGTATCTGAGCACACAGAAGTCCGCCAAGCCACTGGGATGGTTGTTTCTGCCTCCTCTTGAAGCACAGAGCTGATAAAGAATGGTCCAATCAGACTAATGACTGAACTGTCACAGCTACTAAGAACCTGCAACTAACGTTAAGTTCTGACACTTGACTCCTTTGAAAACAAGAAACGAATAAACTAAACCTCCAACTTGTTCACCATGAACACAATTAATCTGGTATAAATTCCTGCCTGGGTTCAATCCTTGTTACAGAAAACTTTTTAATTAGAAAGATAATGTCCCAATGTGACCTTTTAAAATTTAATTTTATACTTGGTTATTAAGGATATCCATTTCATATTAAATGCCATATAGTTTTAAGCAATCACCATGGCTTTAACATCTTCAAAACAAAGAAATATTTTCTGTCCTACTCTTGTAAGAACTCAGCTAGAAGTTAAGCAGCCATTTGGCATCACAGGTAACTAAGACATGGAAGGTTGGTTGAATTGCCTAGTATCACACTAGTTACAGACAAAGCCAGGACTGGAATTCAAGGCTTCCATAATGTTGAAACAGGAAATAATCTCCTTCCTCACCCTCCTCTACCTGGGACCTACCAAAACAAATCAAAACCCAACAAAATAATCTAAGACCATAAAAGATTCATTTTCAAACCAAATTGATTCAGTCATTTTCCATTACAGGGTGTTTTATGGATTAAACAGTGCTTCCAGTTTTAACCAAGTGACCCAAATGCAGAAAAGTCATGTAATTTTAGAATACTCAGAGGAGGGAGAAAGGATATAGTGCCTGACATTGCCCAGGTCTCGGTTTTGGGCACTTGCAGCACTGCCCGTGAAGTGGTTCAGTGTTGTCTGGAGGTGAATTTGGATTGGTGGTAGTTGTATGTTGTCTTTGAGGCTGAATGGGCGGGGCACCTGCCCAGGGTTCAAAAGTGCCAGGTTTCAGTGTTCCTAGTGCCCATCCTATTCTTCAGAGGGGGTGGGCCCTCATTTTCCACGGAGTACTCAGAAATGTTCCAGATAGTCACATAAAAACTAAGAGTAATTCCAGAAATTAATAGAATCATATTTTGACTATAGTATGAAAACTAACTAAAATTCCACAACTACAAAAAGCTGAAGGAAACGCGGAAAGTTTCTCCCTTCTTTCATCAGCCGACCCTCACATCCACAAACACTGTCCAAACATATACGTGCCAGGGCACGCCATCCTCCTGTCGCAGAGAGAGACTAATACTTTTCTCTCTTCCAACACGGATCCATGTATAGCCCAGACAGGCAAATGAAAAGGGAATTTTCTTATATGCAATTTGAGAAGCCGGCCCCTCTGAACTGCATGCTAAATCATATTGTGTGTTTCTACTTAAGCACCCTTTGGCAGCTTCTTTGAACAGGATAAGGTAAGTAGTATTAGGCTAAAGAAACCATGTCACTAATAAAATGAATGTCTTTGTTTAGATCATCTCAAGCAACAGGAAGTAGAATTCCCCTTCTATAAGAAGAGAAAGCGTTCATCTGCATTGCCTTTTATGCTCTTTAACTCTATATTCTAATTACTTTTTTTAAAAAAAAGTATCTTTCCAGCTAACCACAGTACAATATCAAGGTAATCTGGACCTCCAATAAGAGAAATACAAACACTTCAATGATTAATAGAGAATGCTGTTTTGAATCAGAATGAAAACTTCCATGACTTAACCACTGTGAAGAATCTAGAGGCAGAATACATTCGAAAAGTATTTATATCCAGCTCATGTTTTTTACAGAAATCATTGAATAAAATCTGTCAGACTCACAGAATTCAAAAGACCATGGGGATAAATTAATCCAACTCTCTCATTTTACAGATCAGGAAACTGAGATTCAAAACAAGTAAATGTTTAGTGTACAGTCACAGTTAGGAAGTAGCAGAACCTGCACCAAAAAATAAAAACAAAAACCAGTTCTCTGGACTCCAGACCTCATAATTTTGCACTATACTGAGCAAACATCTAAAATGCAGAGATTGGACTAATGACTATGGTTGAGAACCAAGGAAAACACACTAATGCCTTACCAGAGTGAAGAACAAGAGCAGAGCCAGTAATTATCAATAGAACAATAATTAACTGGTAGAGAGGAAATGAGGACACCAACAATATTTAAAACATACAAATAAGTCCCATCTCCTATAGTCTTTAAAGTTTAAAAGTACTTCCCCATGAAAGCTGCTATCACCAAAGATCTGACTCTCACGTCCTTTGATTTACCTCCTGGTAGAGAGGAGCACAGCAATCCAGAAATATGATCAACAACCTGTGAATAATGAAGAATTGATTGTGCCCAGCAGCTAAGATAATCTTTACCTAACCACTCCTTCCTTCTTTTCAAGGAAAAGAGCTTCCACGCAGGTGCTCAGACGCTGCACATATACCTCACACTCATTAAGAAGCGAGAGTGGCCCCGCAGCCAGACACAACACCTTCCAGGAAAGAGGGAAGAGTGTGAGGCCGATTCAGGTATCAGTGCTTTAGCAAGATGCCAGATACTTTCAATCATCCTACGTATTAGTCTACCATGATACAGAATTCTCTCCCCCAAACATACTCAGTTTCATGAGGTTACAATGTTAAGTTTTATGTCCATGGTCAGTTTAAAAACAAAAAGATTTACACGTTAAAAAAAAAAAAATTCAAAGAGGGAAGAAATGACCTTAAAGATTAATTTTAAAAAGTCTTTTTCTCAATTTGAGAGGTTAAAAAAATTAACTTTCTTTTTTTCATTTTCTCTCTCTTTTTTTT